CTGCTTGATATACCCCAGGATGCTGATACTCTAATTACATGGCTGATGTTTTTGTTTCCTCTTCTATCACCGATATCCGTAACACTTGACTTTATCTTGCCATTGATTCCCTTAAACACATAGTTTTAGATCTTATGCTGGTGCACAGATGTTTGGTATTATACAAAAGAGCTCTTCTGTTGTCGTTCTGACAATCCTACATCCGTAGGATATTTTACTCACGGTTACAAAGGTATGCATGAAAGAGGGTAAACTCTACCTCAAATTTTTTGTACCGATGTACTGCGATGAATGTATCATTACGTTCCAGGAATGAACGCGATGCCGCAGGTGATGACCCTTGTAGCCACACCTGAAGGTCTGCAACTAAAGCTACCATCGTCCGGTCTCAATAATTCACAGAACGCAAAATACGGTCCTGCGCTTACAGTACCTCAACAATATCCGCCTTCGCCAAGTGCGTTTCTATAATTGTTCCAACACTTCGTGTCTTGTATCAGAGATCTTTGAATCTTAGGTGGAGCAGTTTCGAAAAACGAGGCAACTAATCACGTTGTCGAGAAGTCAGAAGGATCCAAGCCGTCAAACAACGCCAGCAGGAGCACTGCTGCAAACGGAGCGGGAAAGAGTAAAATAAAGGCTCCAACACCTATAGGTTAGCTCAAAGTTGTGAATTTAAGTATTTATTGTGCGAATAAGTGATACGGAAATTTTTTAGGCCAACTGAAATCGCCAATGCGTCAGCGCGTTGCACGAAAAACGAACAAAAACAAAGGAGGAAAAGCCTGATATTCACATTGGATTGAGAGATGTCATTTGTGTCAATTAACGATAAACATAAAACTTTGGATAAATAAATCTCTTTCAATATGTAAATTTCTATTTAGAAGTCAAAGCTAATTACGTGAAGTTTTGGAGTGAATCACTTATTTGGGTTTATAACCATTCCAGATATTGCCATTTTTCCATGGAATGCCTTCATAGCACTTTCTTAGGTAGACCCGCTTACCGGCGGAGATCCGAAACGGTAATGCTTGTAGGACTTGAAGCGCCTCGGAGAGTTCTAGCATGCACTTTGAAATTTCCGTTTGCCACTGTTTTAAAAAAAGAAATTCTTTCCCCGATATGGCTGAACTGTAACTTTAGACATTATCCAAAGTATTTTCAGAGAAGCAAAAGTGTAAGGGTATAAGTATACATTCAGATTTTTGTCAGTATGTGGTGGTTCTATAAGGTAAAGAAAAAAATTTGAATACAAGGAAATGCAAGGCAACTGCTCCATGTTCAAAACTTACAACTTTTCCAGATTTTTTACACAACAAAAAACGTTCTGTCGCCATGCAATTCAGCACAGAGGAACTTTTTATTAACCGTTGGCTACATAACTTTATAGCATAAAAGAGTATTTTTACCATCCTGGTCACCAAAATTAGTTTGAATCCATTCAATCCGAAGAATAGCTGAGCGTGTAGGGTTGACATTCAAAAATTTATTCAAGGTAC